TTTAAGTCGCCAATGTCTTAAACATTGGCGACGGATTGCCCCGTCGCCAATGTTTAAAACATTGGCGACGAATTGCCCCGTCGCCAATGTTTTAAACATTGACGATGGATTAACCCGTCACCAATGAGTAATGGCAACGGGGCAATCCGTCGCCAATGTTTAAACATTGGTGATGGGGCAATCCGTCTCCAATGTTTAAAACATTGGTGACGGATTGCCCTGTTGCTAGTGATTATTGGCGACGAAAAGACCCCCGTCGTCAAAGAATTCCGTCGCCAATAAACACCCGTCGCCAATAAGTATTGGCGACGGATTCCCCCGTCGCCAATACGTATTGGCGACGAATTTATTGGCGACAGATCCATGTCCGTCACCAATGTGTATTGGTGACGGATTTTAGGGTATTGGTGACAGATTTCCCCGTCGCCAATGCCCAGTTTTTTTACTAGTGACGGTGTTTCATCTTACTGATCCACAATGCCACACAACTGTTCTAGATTCTCATGGCTCTGATTGAAGAGTTTAAGACTCCTCACCAGTAATCTAGCTCTCACACCAAGTCGTCAGGGACAGAACCTTGACCTCAATTCCTTGCAGATAAAATGTAGATGAGAAGAGAAAGAAAGATGCTGAAATAGGAGAGAAGAAGAGAGGAAATTGAGTTGAAGGAAGAATTTGAGGGAGATAGAGTTCACTTCATTCATACTAATCAAATTCTACATTTCTCTCTAAATACATTCCTCTACCGCTAATGCCACTACACCATCTAACTGACAAGTATGTGGGCTGGTTACAGATTCACATCTCTGCCATTACGCACCACTTCCTCCATTGGGCTCATCTTATAGGCTTTTAACCTGACACCCACTCTTTTTCCAATTTTTGCCAAAGGTCCCTCCATTACTTTTAGAAACCAAACTTCTTTAAGGATGTACAACTCGAATCCACAATGCCAAATCCATTTTTCAAAGAACATCCTTTTTTTAAAGGAAGAACTGATATATAATAATTTTAAGTGAATGAGGATTTGAAGGAGGAAGAACATGTTTTTTTTCCCTCTTCTAATATTATCCTTTTTCATAAAGAATAATTGATATATAATTTTATGAGAAGCAAAATAAAGGACACGTCATTTACGATCCAACAAGATTTGCTCTTCTTTATATGTAAAAGAAAAGTATGAGAACTACAATGAGCGCAAATCTTATTCAGAGGCGACTAAGTTTTAAACTCGACTTTGAGCCTCTTCGTCCGCTGGCCCGTCTCCGAAGCAACGCGCGGACAACAAGTTTAGTATTTTCTCTGAGGCAAAGAAGAGAGAATAGGAGGACTATTAAACGATTTTAAGGAGATAAGAATTTGTAAAGAAGAATAAGCTAGGGATGTTAAACGGGTGGGTTTGGGCATTAAACGGGCGGGTCATAAATGGGCGGGCATATTTTACCCATTTACCCATTTATGGCCCATTTAAGATTTTCTAAATGGGCGGGCTTTTGCCCGCCCATTTAATAATCGGGCCGCCCATTTGCCCGTTTAACTATAAAAGCTATATATATAATACTTTTGTGGTGTTTCTGTAAACTTTTAGGGCCATTTGCCCGTTTAACTATAAAAGCTATATATATAATACTTTTGTGGTGTTTCTGTAAACTTTTAGGGGTTTTTTATAAACTATGATAGTTATATCGTGATACAGTGAATTAGTCGACACGGTGAGAACAATGTTGAAACGGAGCAGCGTTATATGAGACCATGTCGACTAATTCAGCCACAAACATCATTGACATAACTACCTCACACACTTATAACCCTGCAGCATCGAGATATCAATAAAGCCAGTGGAAATCATAGACAGGAAACATTCTCAAAATGTTCAAACATGTCAAAGCAGCCTGTACTGGAACAAGAATATACACAACAACTTACATACACATGTCAAAGCAGCCTGTACTGGAACAAGAATATACACAACAACTTACATACCAAGTTTTTCGATTATATTAATAACAATATATGTTCTTCTAAGCATTACATAACAAGGGAAATAAACGAAAAGAAAAGGATAGAATTGCAGACCCAAGCATATAAGTTTACGAGTGCTACATTCAATTCCAAATTCAAATAATCGAGGCTGGCATACATTGCCATACAAACAGAAGGCAGGCTTTGAAGAGTAGGCATTGTGGCGCGTTATCCATGATGTCAAGGCACAAATTCCTCTCATACATAATATACCAAACACCTGCAAGTCATAAGAATCTTTATGTTAACACTACAATACAAAATAAACTAGTCGTCCTCGTTTTATAATTTTTAAGAAAGAAAGCCCCCTTCCTTTGGAGAATGAGAAAAACAAAAGGGAAGTGAAGAAAATATAAACCTGTACCTAACTCAAAGTGCTGCTAATAAAAATTATAAAATTTTTTGCTGACTTTGGCAAATTTTGGTTTCGTTCTTCTCTCCGCTCCCTATGATTTCCCCTTGCAGCTTGCGTTTGAAAGTGGGGGGGAAATGAAGATTCTTCAAAGTTAGCAGGTAAAGCCAATGTAGTTAGATAGCTTCTACTTAATTACTGTCGCAAGTATGTCTCTACTTAAAACGATCTAGCTGAGTTGGTAAGCTACTGATTCATTAGGATTGGAGAATGAGAAACAGAAGATAGAAGAGGTTATCGCGCGGATAACATTATTAGGATTGCACTAGTTATTGCCTCTTGGAAAATGGTATCGACTTCTTATTAAATGAGGTTCAGAGCAGTTAGCATGATAACTAGCTATTGTCTCTTGAAAAATGGTATCGATTTCTTAAATGAGGTTCAGAGCAGTTAACATGATAACTAGCCGTAAGTCCTCTCTGAATTATACGGGCAACATTATTAGGATGACACTAGCTATTGTCTCTTGAAAAATGGTATCGATTCCTTAAATGAGGTTCAGAGTAGATAGCATGATTACTAGTTAAATTTATTATATTTTATATAATTATGTATTAGTATATACTTACTACATATATTATATATATATATTATATATACATATATTATATGTAAATATATTATATATATTTATAATCTATAACTTGAGAGAGAGAAAATCGCATAAGTAGCCATTGCTCGTTGGGCCAATGGGGAAGAAGTAGCAGTTGTAATATACTAATATACTATACTTATATACTAAGAGAGAGAGTATACACACACATATTATACATATATAGGAGAGAGTATACTTATATAAGAGGGAGTATACATATATAAGAGAGAGTATACCTTTATAAGAGGGAGTATACATATTATACATATATAAATAAGAGAGTGTATACCTATATATACTTATATAAGAGAGAGTATACATATATAAGAGAGAGTATATTTATATATACATATATACTAAGAGAGAGAGTATACACACACATATTATATATATATAAGAGAGAGTATACTTATATATACATATATACTAAGAGAGAGAGTATACACACACACACACATATTATACATATATAAGAGAGAGTATACTTATATATACATATATACTAAGAGAGAGAGTATATATATATACACACATATATTATCTATTTACCCTTTAAAAGAGGGAGTTCATGAAAAACTTTTCCCTCCCCAAAATAGCCTTCCACCAAATTTAATTACCAAACATATCCCAAATTCATAAACCAATTTAGCCTTTCTTCCGTTACGCCTCTATTCCTCCTCCTTTCAATTCATCGGTTACGCCCTCATCCTTTCAATTCATCGGTTACGTCGTCTCCTCCAATCTTCCGTTACCTCCACCAGCTTTGAAAGATGATTTCTCAGTTCTTCTCAGTCATCATCAACACTTTCCCTCCGTCATCATCAACGCTTCACCGTATCCTCCGTTCTTCAAAGTTTTTGGGAATTGGTTACAATCTTTGCTTCATTTTGGTTTAATTTTAAAGTATAATTTCATTGAATTTGTTTCTAATTCGCCATCATCTAATTTTTGTTCTAATTCAACAATAGGTCAATTGTTTTCCGATTTAGGGCTTGCTTCAAGTGTTCTAATTGATCCTGTGTCAATTTCATCAGGTAAAAATTCTCTTTTTATTTTTAATTTTTTTTAAATTCAATTATGTTACTGTGCCTGGCTCCAAAACATCTAATTTTTGTTCTAATTCAACAATAGGTCAATTGTTTCCCGATTTAGGGCTTGCTTCAAGTGTTCTAATCGATCATGTGTCAATTTACCTTTTATGTTGCGGCGAGTTAAGAAAGATGTCATAACAGAGATGACATCGTAGAAGGAGGTTACAGTTCATTGTAAATTAAGTTCCAGGCAGCAGGCTTTTTATCAAGCTATAAAAAACAAAATATCACTTGCTGAGCTTTTTGACAGTAACCGTGGGCACCTAACGGACAAGAAACTTGTTAACTTGATGAACATTGTCATTCAATTGCGGAAGGTGACTTTTGAATTACCTTACAGTTAAAAACTTTACTAGATAGTCCCTGAGGTTTTTTATGAAGGCTTTGTTGCTGTTATTATTATTTCAGATAGCTTCTGCATAATGAAACCTGGTTCTACATGACTTGATTTCCTTCTATTTTCATTATGTCTTATGGAAAGTAGACCCATGCAAAATGTGGGAAAATAATAATAATATAAAATAAAAGACAACACTAGAGTCTAGAGGCGACTGCAGATAACATCCAGAATTTTGAAAATAAAATTTCTACTGATATAAAATCCTCACCTTTTGATAGGTGTGCAATCATATAGAATTATTTGAGCACAATGAGGGAAGCTCATTCTTATATTTTGCAGAGGTCCCAAATTCTCTTCCTCCTCCTCCATTTGGGGAGCTAGAAGATGTTTATTACTCGGGAGACTTGAATCCCATATCGTATAAGGTACTTTCTTCCTTTTCTGATAATTTTAAACTTTCTAATGCTTATTGCATTTTTTTTTTAAATTTTTCTTTTACCGGTTCCCATTTTACCTACTCTTTTTTAATTTGCCAAATCTTTTTTCATGCTTTTAGGTTCCAAAATTGGTTTATCAAGAAACTATCCGGAATTTTGAAAGGTCTTGTTCAGTCATGGGGCATGATGTCCAGAATAATACTTTTGAGAGACTCTTCAGTATATATTCTCCTGAAAGTATATATCGTTCTGCAGTTTCCTAATTTTCAGATGAATGTTCTGTGACCACTGGGACATTTGGCTTTACTCGGCTTATGGATTTATCACCAACTGAGGTCTCATTTTTAGCCCAGTGTTCTTTGCTCGAAAAGCTGATGTTTTCTGTGAAAAGATGGTATAAGCAGTTTGTAGATGAAGTCGTTGATCTCTTCATGAATTTAGAGGGCGGTGATGCTCAATATGATCAGCTAGAGGAATCAAAGGTGAGAATAGTTGCACGGATGCTGATTATTCCCACAAAATCAGAGATATCCTTCAAGTGTTCTAATCGACATAGAAGTTCAAGGTGCTAGATCAGTGAGGGCAAGCTCTCTTGAAGCGATTTTTGTATTTATCTGCCCCCATCATTTGATGAGCTTGAGAAGCGCCTTCGCTCTCGGTATATAAGAGATTTTAGAGTATTTTCAAAAGCGTAACTCACTATGCAGACATACATTCTCTTATATTGTAAATCTTATGTAGTGTTATTTGTGTCTTGTTAACAAAAACTGAGGAACAAGTTCAAAAGAGGCTAAGAAATGTGAAAGCTGAGCTCGAGCAAGGAAGAGCCCCAGGTCTTTTTGAACATGTTTTGGTTAATGATGACCTTGAAACGTGATTATCACATTAATTCTATTTCTAATAACAGGTTTCTTCATGCATATTACTTTTCACTATATAGTGTTATATTATTCTTGCTAGATTGTTTTTTATTCATCTAAAGCTGTTATAAATTGATCTTACATGTGAGGTCCATCACATGACTAAACTTTCTCAGTTTGGATCTATATGCTTTACACACCTTCTTAAACTATTCATAATTAAAGACAACTTAATTATGCTTGCCCTTATTGATTTGACAGTGACGGTGAGACTTTCATATCGGCTGATGAATGGCAAATTAATCTGTGGAACTTGGAAATTAGCAACTAGAGTTTTAACATCATTGATGTAAAGCCTGCAAATATGGAGGACCTAACTGGTATTAATCTTAGCAACATTTTGATTTTGTGAGTTAATGTATTCTTATCAAATTCAACCATCTCTTCACCTTTAAGTGATATATTGTGGTAGATAGAGCCTTCAAACATTTGAAGTTCTTTTTCCTTGTGGGGGTGATAAAATAAAATTTGATTACATTTCCTTTCAAATGCAGAGGTGATAACATCCATAGAATTCCAGCCTACGCACTATAACATATTTGCATATAGTAGCTCTAAGGTCTCTATACAACTTATTGATTTGCGACAATCAGCACTATGTGATAACCACTCAAAGTTGTAAGTGATCTATTGTTTTTTCTTTGAACTTTTATACAGTGACATGTAATTGGGTGTACTTCTTGTTTCAATAAAATGTTACTGAATTCTTATTTTGAGTTGTTTGCTTCTTTGCTACTGTCATGGCTAATAGCATGTACTTCCGGGTTTGAGGAGCGTGAAGCACTAGGTTCAATATCTTTTTTCACTGAGATCATTGCGTCAATTTCAGATACAAAATTTGGAAAGGATGGAATACACATTCTCAGTCGTGATTACATGACTCTTAAGGTTATAGTTTTTTAGCTGTTTATCTTCAAGTTTTCAATTGTTTCTTTTTTGAGGAAAATCAGTCAGCAATGAGCTTTTGATATCCATGGTACAATCCTTGTGCAATTTTGAGAATCAACTGTTTCCAGTATTTACTTTATTTTTTTAAAAAAATTGCTTGTAACTGATTTCAGCTATGGGATATAAACATGGACATTGGTCCAGTTGCAACCATTCCAGGTCCATGAATATTTAAGGCTGAAGGTGAATAATATTTACAATTATGTATTTCATTCTGAATTTGTTAGTAACATTGGATGCTACGCCTTTCAGTTCCTTCTTCTTTTTCTTTTTCATTTTGAGAATAAGCTTTAGTCTAATTTTTTTTTTAATGATGGTCCTAATTTTATACGGTTATGCGATCTTTATGAAAATGATTCAATTTTCGACAAATTTGAATGTTGTCAAAAATAAACAAATCTGTATTAAAAATTTAATCAATTTATAATCTCCAGCCCAAATGAGATGGTAAATCTTGTAGGCCAGGAAATAAAATCAAATGATGGTTTAAGTTAGCTTTTTTAGTTTGAATCTGGATCTGGTAGGAACCTACTGTAAATGTGTTAGGTGCATATATGGTAACTAACTCTAAATGGCCTATTGTACTAATTACTCTTATTGAGGTAAATTATACTTAATTTTCTGTTTCAATGCAGAAATTCTGTATCTTTGCCATAGGCATAATTATCAGAGATTTATTATTCTGAAAGATTTTAGCTAGATTAATTTGTTTGATTTATTCATCAAATAGCACACCTTCATGTGGCTAGCGGAAGTTACTTCTAAAAACAGTTATGGTCTGCAATGATGTAGCCTGAAGCTCCCATTGCATCTCTTCAATGTAACACAGACACTTCTACATGAATTTTTTATGTCCGACACTACGACACATGTACCAGACAGGCGGACACTGATACTTCCTTGGGCACTCCTTGTATATGTGCATACACTTTTCAAATGCATCTTCAGTCCTAAGTCATATGGTACATATTTAATTGGAAACACCCATCATACACCTCGTGGTGATGTATCATACACTTCACATACACTTCTTTATTCTTTGTTACATGTTTGGGATATCTATTTATTTTCATTTATACTCCCAAAAACTATAATGGAAAAGTCTATAAGTAATGACTTCTATAAAACTAAGTTTGTATATGTCTTATTTTGTTCTGTTACAGTAGGTTAGGCAATTGTTGTCTGTTTGTTTATTCTGACTTCTGTGGGATTAAGTTACTTTCTCAACACAGTATCATACACTTCACATAATTGACATAATCGATATAGTACATATCAGCTTCTTCGACTATTTATACATTACGTATGTGCAAGATGACGTATAATCAAAAAAAGGTCTTCTACAATGTGAGAAATACAAGTATCGGTAAGTTATTATTAATTTTTTCTATTTAAAAAATTTAATCTCTTCTACAATGTGAGAAATACAAGTATCGGTAAGTTATTATTAATTTTTTCTATTTAAAAAATTTAATCTTTTTGGCAAGTACCAATAAGTTATCATTGGTAAGTTATTATTAATTTTTTCTATTTAAAAAATTTAATCTTTTTGGCAAGTACCAATAAGTTATCATTGATTTCTAATTTTTTAAAAAGTTAATCTAGAGAAGAGTTGAGCTTGTCTATTATCAGCCATATGACTATCTTGAAAGGATCGAGAATTTTAAGGCAGCTGCAAGGGTGGCCTTGAGAAGAGCTGTCCTTGTCTATTTAAGACACATGAAGTTTATGACCCAATGAGGTTTGTTAATTTGCTTATATGAGGTTTGCACTTAATCCTTCTTATTGATTTAATGCATTTATAATCTGTTGTTTTGAACATATTGACATTAATAATACTCATTATACTTAATTTGTACCAAATTAAGTATAATGAGTAATAATACTTAGTTCCGATATATGCGGACTCCTCCTTTCCAATTTTTACAGTTAGCACTTGATTTCTTGCAGCAATTAAGGGGAATTTACTCTTATTTTTATAGGATTTTAAGTTATCTATCAATCCAATCTCATTGCTCATTACTCTGTAGCTCTGGCTTTTCCACGTTTTCTGAAATTATGGAGTTATATACAATGCCTTTGTTGAAATTTGATATTAATCTGCAGGAAATAGTTTTTCTTTAGTGAACATTTGATAATCTGTAGTATTGTGACAAAGTAAATTCTTTTGACCAGGTGGGTTGATGAGGTCATTCCAGATGCTCCCTGGGTGTGCACAAAAGAGTTCCTTGATAAGCACGACCAGGTGGGTTGATGAGGTCATTCCAGATGCTCCCTGGGTGTGCACAAAAGAGTTCCTTGATAAGCACAACATTGACTATGTAGCCCGCTCCCTGGGTGTGCACAAAAGAGTTCCTTGATAAGCACAACATTGACTATGTAGCCCATGATGCTCTCCTGTAAGGTCATCAACCCAGTTGCATTTGCATTATTGCTGCTGCAAACTATTATCTTTAAGCATTTAGATTTTAATTATCTTGACAAGGTGATGTACAAGAAAGTGTATTAGGGAACTTTTTCTTAATCGATCACTGAATTAAAGCATATAACAAAAATAAAAGAATTTGAGAGATTATTCTTTTTTAAGTTCCTAAAAATTTGCATGTGAAATAGTAAAAATAAAGGATTAAAACTGACACACACACTCTCTCTCTCCCTCCCTCTCCCTCGCGCGCGCGCGTAAATGCGTAGACATAAAAAGCACGGGAAACTATTTTTTTGATTTTTATATTGTTTATTTTTGGGGACACAATCAGCAAATTCTCTTACCTTCTTCTGATTATCTAATTAGAGGAAAAACTTATTTTTACATATATATGCAGATATGCAGATGCAAGCGGAGTTGGTAATGATGTATATGAATTCGTATGTTCTTCATAACATTTATATATTCTGTGGTGTCAACTAACCACGTTTCTTGTTCGTTAGCTCCTTAACTATGAGTGTTATTGCAGGTCAAAGCCATTGGTAAATTTAAGGAAACAAAGCGCACAGATGGAATTTCTACATCTGATATTATAATGAAGATAGTCAAAGATTACAATGATTACGTCATGCAGAACTTGGCCCGTGGTTACACTAGGAAGGATCTTGGTGTCAGCTATGTAAAGGCACGTGTACTTAGTATATCTATATTCTTATGCTATCAGATTTAGAAGAGAAAAGTAGTTGTACTTAGTATATCTATATTCTTATGCTATCAGATTTAGAAGAGAAAAGTAGTGGTGGACGAGATACTTGAGTCACTAATCTTTTTAGAGGGATTACCTAATTGTATGAATTTTTATCAGGAAAAGCGGTTGAGAGTGAACATGGGCTTAAAGAAACTCCGCGAGAAAGTTAAGGAGCACCAGGAGAAAATTGGGGAGAAGGTACTCTTCCTTAACAGTAGAAGTTATTTTCTGAGGAAAAGCTAGAGTGCATTAGCTTATATAAATAGGGAAGTTTGAATTTCAAAAATATTAAAATATTAGTCATGAATTGATGGGTTAGGTGCTCTACGATTTGATTTGCTCCCAGAACATAGGCTGCTTACTGAGGAGAGAGAGTATGTACTTTCACTATATGACCATGTCTATGATCCCGGCTTAGGTTCTTCTCTGATGTTGGACTGGACCCTGTAAAAGGTGTATTGCAATTGTGCAGGATTCAGTCACTCTTCAAGCTTGACCCAAAACCCATTCCATTTCCATGGAACTTACAAGTTCAGGCCTCATGGTCCCTGTAAAAGTGTGTTGCAGTTGTGCAGGATTCAGTCTAAGTTTCACTCTTCAAGCTTGGTCCAAAACCCGTTACATTTACCATAGAACTTAAGAGTTCAGGCCTCGCTCCCTCATTCTCTCTGTCTGTGCGCGAGCGCGTGTGTTGGGCTTCGGGGGTGGGGAGTGGTGTTGGGGCATATTTCATATTTAAAATAGGATAACTTGAAGTATTAAGTCATTCTTGAAGTATAGATGTAATTCTTATAGATGTAAATTTTCTTATATGATAAAGCAATTACATGGTATAAATAGTCTGAACTAACCTTTCATGTGATGTGTGTTTTCTTGTAAATGATAACTCAAAGTTAGAGGTGATTCTTATGGATGTAGTTTTTCTTATATGATATACCAAAGTACATGGTATAAAGAGTCTGAACCTACCTTTCAGTATTCTTCAAGGTCTTCTCCATGATTTTTTAGCATGAATTATATGACCGATAAAGAAAACTTTTCAACCCATCTGAAGACCTCAACCTACTCTTTATTGTACTTGTCTCGTTAGGGCTTCATATTTGCCTTCTTCTTTATTGACTTACAATTTCAATAAATTTAATGTGCTGAGTTATCAAAAATCGTATTTACCATGAGGTTGCATGCCAATGGAGATTTAACCCCCTCCTCTTCTGATAGTTTTTTCTGTTGCACAAAAATAAAGGCAATTAATATTGATAAATTGCATGATCGACATCAATGCCTTAGTCTTAACAACACACACTTAAGAGTTCCTTTTGAGCCACCCTGAGGTGGCCGGCCAGATCTGTGCCCGGGCACAGTAAAGGGAGCCTATAAATAGGCCCCCCTTGTTTCATTTCAAAAGGTTGGAAAATTGGGAGAGGCGAAGCCCTGCTGGAATCAAGACTCAGAACTTAAAAAGATCCAAGCTTTGAGACTTCGAGGACTTGTTCATCCAGATCTGGTGCTCGGCGATCGTCAACGCCAAATAAGGCAGGTGTTCGAGAGGACCGGATCTCAGATCTACGCAGGCATACTCCGGATCAAAGCTTGGCCTTTGATCCCGAGATTTGGACGATTATTTCCTTGGTGAACTAATCCTCCCCGGCTATTATTTCCTTGGTGAAATAATACCCGTCGTACTGCGTAGATCCGACCGGATCTAGATCTCGCGGTGGTCCACGGATAAACCCCGGCGCAGGCAAAGAACCCACAAAGCGAGAGACCGCAAAACAGGGAAGCTTCACGATTTGTTCGATAAAAGGAGAAAGTTATAATCTTTTTCTTTATTTTTTGATTTGCGTTGTAAAGCCGGATCTTAATAAAAAAAGACAGGATCTTTGTAAACTCAAAAAGTTGTTATTTAAAGATAGCAATGGAATCAATAATCGAAGAGAAAGAAGACAGCGACGATTTTTCTCCGGCGAACAATCTGGCGACCAGCCAGTGGGAGCCACGCGATCTCGCTGCCGTTGAGATCGTCCGCGTCGCAGCGCGCGGATCTTCAATGCCAGGTCGCAGGATGGAGGTCGAGTATGATTCGACCGAGAGCCAACAAGTTTACGAGGAGTACCTTTTCGTCCTGTCCGGATCTACCTCCCCCGCAAGTCCAAGAGTTCTCCTCCAGGAGAAAGGCTCGTTGGTTTGAAGAAAGTCCAGAATACCAACGACGCTCTCACCCCAGCTGACGCCAAAAGTTGCGTCAGTGAAGTTCCACCGACCTCCAACGAGGTCAAACCTGTTCTCGTCAACGCTTCTACTGTTGAAGGCGTTGTGACTCTCTCGAAGAGAGCCCGCCAGAGGCGACGTCAACGCCTTGCGCGGCAATTCGCCAAAGCGATGGAGTCCACGGACGGGGTCCGCTACAACGCGGATCTAAAGAACAGGAGAGGCAAACAGCCTCAACAATTGAAGAATGGCTGCTCCTCCAAGCCGCCAACGAACGAATGGATCCGAGTCAAACGGAACCGTTTGACACTCGAAGAGCGGATTCACAAACGCCGCGCATTACTTGCACAAGCAAGAATCCTCGTGCAGAAGGCCGAGGAATTGAAGAAAGGAAGAGTGGCCAAGAAGCCGCCATCAACCCGCCAAGTGTGGAGGCCGAAGCAGCCTCCAACCAAAGTTCAACCTCCGGTGAACCAACCAAAGTCGCCGGTAATCCCAATAGCTTCTCCGGGAGATCATGCAGAATCGTCCCAAAGGAAGAAGCCAGTCTTGGAGCGCCTCGGTCCGATTCCCGACGAGAGAGGCAAAACTCCCGTCCAAGATCGTTTGGGCCCGATGAAGAAGCTCCGGACGACGCAACATGCTGGGGGTCGCCGTCACCTCCAACATGACAAAGAGACCAAGGCAGTCATGCGCACCAACTTGCGCATTGAAGTCCAGGAGCCCGCCGAGAACTCACGCCCAAAAAGGCATGTTTCGAGGCGTGTGACTTTTGAAAGCCCTAAGAAGGCAGTTCCCCCTCAGAAGGAAACATTATCGTCCGATGACGATAGTGTTATACCTGAGAAGTCGTGCCAACACACGATAGGTTACTCCGATCGTCAAGCAGACGAGTTGTACTATCGTGCTGGGGGTACGAATAAAACCAAGAAAAGGAGTCCCCAAAAATAGGAAACTCAGTGCCCCTGTTCCAAACTCATTCGGGCAGTATTGTCTGAATGCAGCTGCATCAAGGCGGTCCCCGAACGAGTTTCGGTTTTCGAAAGGCTCAGTACCGAAACGCCGAAGACAAGGCCTAGGCATTTCCGACGAAGAAGAACGGTGGTTGAAGAGGGAGAATTTCCGAGGGTCACCACCAACATGACCAGCAGAGGGACATCGACGTAAGATAATCTCGAGTCAATTTGGAGAGCATCCCGGCCTAGAACCCGTCTACAGTCCAGAACCATCAATCGGGCAACCTACGGTAGGGTTCGAACAAGGCTCCCCTCAGAAGATGAAGAATCTGATGCTGGCTCCGCGGTTGCATCAGATAATACGGTATCCAGCGAGGGACAACCCCGCGAGGCACTTATGATAAGTGCGGAGCAAGTGGCCAAAATGCTCAGATGGCCATGCAGAACATGAGAGAGATGCATGACCAACAGATCCAAGCACTGACGAACCAGCAAGGCGAACCAAGTCGTCGTAACCGAGTTCATCAGGAAGATGAGGATACAAATGAAGCTCATAATGCCAATAATCCTCCCTTCAACGCAGGGGGTGGTAACGAAAATGCTAGCGAAGACACAGGTGAAAGCCTGAAAATTAAAAACCTCAAGAGCAAAATCAATACGTTGATTTCCGCTCAAGAGACCAAAAAGACGGGCATCCCTTGTCCATACCCAAGAGAGTGGGAATCAATCCCATATCCGGCGAAGTTCAACTTAATCAACTTCACGCCATTTAATGGGATGGGTTCCCCCACTCAACATTTGATTTACTTCAAATCACACTTGGGGGTAATCTCCGGCAATGAGCCTCTGATGGTGCGGTCATTCGTTGGCACTCTTCGCGGAGCCGCCTTCGATTGGTATCGCCACCTCAAGCCAGGTAGCGTGAATAGTTGGGATGACATGGAGACCAAATTTCTCACCAACTTCTTCGACGACGACACAGAGATATCCATTGGGTCGTTGCTGGATGAGAAACAGAAAGACGGAGAATTGGTCGACACCTTCGTCAAGAGATTCCGGAACAAGGCGATGAACTGCAGGGACCCGATCACCGAAGAATTCATCCTCCAGACTTGCCACAACAACCTCGCACTGGACGTGTTGGAAGCAATGGGGACAGCACCGTCCAAAACATGGAAGGATCTGAAGGTCCGAGGAGAGCAAGCCGAGCGATTCCTAAGAAGGAAAAAGGCGGAGAGAGGCCAACAGACGAATAATGCTCCACAACAGAATTTCGTCCCACGGGGGAAAGGTAAGGCACACACTAATACAGTTGATGCTAATCAAACCTTTCAATTGCAACCACAGCAACAGTAGTAGCAGCAACAAGCACCACAACAAGCTCGGGGGCAATGGCAACAACGGCCTCAGAAGCAAAAATCTTCAGAGCCGAGGTTTCCCAAGGTGTACTCCTTCAAAGATGACGAAGTTCCCGACATCTTTAAATACCTGTTGGAGAAATCCAGGCACTCATTGACGTGGGCGTTATAACCCCGAAGCCTGCCAAGAACGTGGGAGCGAACGCCGTATCAATCAGTTTCGGATCGGTACCTACGACTTGGTTCGAGCCAAAGCACATCACCAAAGTCGGGATGAAGACGGTGAACGACGACCCGCATGGACAGCGCCAAAAAGGACTTGTGCCACATACAGCTCCAAACGGCGAAATCCTCTGGGTTCACCCCGACCTGATTGAAGATGAACAATGGGCCGGGTCGTCATCCAAGAAGAAGTCCAAAGGGAAAGAAAAGTCTTGCTACGGAGTTTCTGCTATCCCAGGAGAAGATGACGAAAGAATCCTAACTTTTCCGCTCTCTGAAGAAGAACAAGAAGTTTTTGCCACCCGAAGCGGAAATGAGTATCACTACAACTATCCACCACCTAGTGAGCAGGGGGTGAATAAACGGGGACCAGCTAAAACTCTCATGGAGATGGGGGTGATTACAAGTCCTACTCCGGGCGAAGAGGCTCGACGACAGCCGGTGAATAAACCGAAAGAGAAGAATCCCCAGGAAATTCAGAATCCGAAGCAATCTCGTTTCAGTCGTCCGATTGGAAAAGACAAACCGGAAAGCTCGAAGACTCCGCAAGTCTTCAATATAATGGCTCAATTAGCCAATATTCCAGCACGGATAACGCTGTATGAATTATTGCGGCTGTCCAAGGAAACTAGGGAGGCTTTGCAAGAAGCGTTGGCCAATTCAGAGGTATTTCTGACTCAAGTCAAGCCGGTGCATGAACAGCCAGAACCGCTGAGTCAACAGTGCAACATGGCGACTAAGAACCTTCCCTGCATCACCTTCACCAAAGAGGATATGCAAACGAAAAATTCGAATCACGATCGGCCCCTA